AGCTGGGGCGTCTTGTGAAGGATGGTAAGATCACCAAGCTTGAAGAAGTCTACCTTCATTCCCTCCCCATCAAGGAGCACCAGATCATTGATCAAATCCTGCCGTCACTTAAAGATGAGGTGATGAAGATCATGCCTGTCCAGAAACAGACCCGTGCTGGACAAAGAACCAGGTTTAAGGCTTTTGTTGTTGTTGGAGATGGAAATGGCCACGTAGGACTCGGAGTCAAGTGCTCAAAGGAAGTGGCTACTGCCATTAGAGGCGCAATCATATTGGCCAAACTGTCTGTGATTCCAGTGAGGAGGGGATACTGGGGTAATAAGATTGGAAAGCCCCATACTGTGCCATGTAAGGTTACTGGAAAGTGTGGTTCAGTTACTGTTAGGTTGGTTCCGGCTCCTCGTGGTGCTGGTATTGTGGCTGCTAGAGTTCCAAAGAAGGTTCTTCAGATGGCTGGGATCGATGACGTGTTTACGATGTCTCGTGGATCCACAAAAACCCTTGGAAACTTTGTTAAGGTCAATTTCTATTCTTTTTGCATCTTAATTGAGCTGATTATAATTTACTTTTTCACGTAATCTGCTCTTATTCAGTAGTTACTCATCAACTCTGGTTTATCTACACTACTTTGCATATAAAATAGTTGCATATAAAGTAGTGTGTTTTTTTGCAAGTGTCAAGTATGAACTAATTAAACTTTGTATCTCGCTATTGAGGAATGCATCATCCTATCTCACATTTGCCAAAATCACACCCCTAACTCTTATTTGTAGGATGTATTAAAATTTCAATCTTTTAGTCCATGAGTATATTGAATGTAATTCTATCAGTTCAGACAATGATCGTGTTTTTTGGCTAGATTTATCTGGGTAGTATAATTAAATTAATGATGAATATTTCACAATTGTTTTTTATCTCTTCATTGTACTTTTTGCTGCATTTGATATGAACCATGTGAATTAGTATGAATTTTCACTATTTTTTTGTTGGTATAGTTGTTTATGGTATTGAAACTTTATGCTTTTTTATGTTTCTGTACGTGTCATATATGTATTTTAAGGATTGGAATTTTGTTGAGATAAATACATTTAAAATCAAGATGTGATTTTTTTGCAGGCTACTTTTGACTGTTTGCTGAAAACTTATGGGTTTTTGACTCCTGATTTCTGGAGGGAGACAAGGTTTTCAAGATCACCATTCCAAGAGTACACAGATCTTCTTGCAAAGCCAACCACAAAGGCAATAACTTATGTTGAAGATGTTGCTGAAATTCCTGCTTGACAATCTTTGAGAATTTTGGAGAGTATGTTATGTTTTTTATCTAGGATGTTTTGTCACAGAATACTGGTTGAATTTCATGTTATTTCTTTTCATTTTTGATAATTACTCTATTCTGTTTTGGGAATTCAAGTACAATCTTTGATAATACCGTATGGATGTTTTCTCGTCATGCTTCTTACTTGATATGCACCCTGAAAAAAACAAGTTAAAACTAGTAATGAGTAAAGACTCCCTAATGCTTGGATGATATCCATTTTTTTGTTTTCTCCCATTCACCCTAAAATCTCATATACCTTACAATAAACTGCCAATTTTCTACTTCATCTTCAGATCCTTGTTGCAAATTCTAACCTATTAGACAATTAGAGCCCTAAGAATGTTCATCATCTTATTTGATTCAGATTTTTAGAGCCATTGCACAAACTGTTGCCTTGAATAATTTGTTCTCAAAATGGATGTGGGCGAGTTGTATCTATATTGTGACAAATTGGTGTTACAACAAAAATATTTAGTTTTGGTGGTTGTGTTTTTCCTTTAGTATCTTATTTTCTAAAAAATATATTACAAATGTAAGTTTTTTTTGTTTCCAATGTAAAATGTACGTGGATGGATTTAGTAGACATTAGAGGGTGTATGGCGCTTTTTAGGGGACAAAAGTTTTTTTTGGAAAAGTTACAAAAAGTCATGTTTTTCTAACTTTTCCAAAAAGTTCATTTTTACTTGTATCCAAATCCAAAAGTAGCTTTTAAAATGTATTTACCAAACATCTTTTATCTTCTATATTTTCCTAAAAGGATTTTTGGCTTCTAAAAAGCTAAGACAAACACCCCCTGATGATTTTTTATTGATTCTTAATTGGGAGCTGTTTTATAATATCATTTGTAATGGCAAAGAAAATGTAAGATTCTTTAGTATCATGAGGGTTGGGGTTGTTTAGATGTATCAAAAGTATTGAAGGTTGAGGTTGTTTAGTTGTATCAAACATGTTAAATGATGATGTTGTATCAAATGCGTTGAATGCTTAGTGATTTGGAGGTGATCTTTGAATTGTTCCATTTATGTTATCATTGGCCCACTTAGCATTCAATTACTTGCATTTTGTGTTAATTAAGTTGTTTATGTCATTTATTTAGGCCCCGTTTGATACGCATCTTTCTAGATCCAAACAGATCTTTCTGGTTGAATGGACCGGAAAGACTGGTTGAATGGACCCGAAAGACTGTTTGATTTGCACAAAAAAAAATGTCTTTCCCGGTAAGATATGTCTTTCCCAGAAAGCACAAAATCATATCTTTCTGACTGAATGGACTGAAAAGACAATTATACATCAAACTCCGCCTCTTTCTTTCTTTCTTGGATTATTAATTTTTTTTAAATTTATTTTTTATTGAATTATTACTATTTTTTCATCATTCAGCACAGTCAATCAGATGTACAATCAAACAACATAGTTTCTTTCTCAGTCAGAAAACTTTTTCAGACAGCACTTTCCCAAACAGAAACTATCAAACAGGACCTTATATTAGTATCGTTTTTCACATTAGTTAAAAGAACTTACTATGTTTTTTATTTTCTCATGTATGACACAATATTCTATTTCTAATGGAGGTCTCTTATGGAAGGAACCTCTCTAGTCTCTACCTTTGCATACATCTAATATTTCTATTGCTTTGCGCCTATTTGTGAATTATTATTATCTTTGAACGATCAAGATGTAATTAACCTTACTAAATATGTTTTTTCCTGTAGAATCATCTAAATATTGAACATGTCTATACTATATTTTCATGTTTCCTAAAAGATACTCTCTGGTGTTGTATTTGGTATTTGAGGAAATACAACCACCATCATCACCATAATGTTGTATAGTTTTAAGTATTAGTGTAATGAATGTACAAGTAGTTCTCTTGTACCATTAGGAAGGTCATTTAGTGTGTGTAGTGGATGGTGGTCAAATGTTAAAAAACAAGTTGAAGAATCTTAAGAGATTTGGAACCACTACCACCGCTGGAGCGTTAAAGAAGAAACACATGCCGATCTGAACCTTCATCTCCACTTCTGTTTGAGCTCCTATGTTTGAGTTCCTAGATCGAAGAGTTAACCCACCGCCAACATCTAATAGAGGCAAACCCTAGCATCACAATCACACATGTTTTCACCTTATCTAGTTCGTCAGAGAAAGAAATAAAGTTCGACGAAGGTGACGATCGACTCATTAGAAGATGTGGACGGCGATTTTTGTAGATTTAATTGACGGGGGAGGTGGATGACGGTGGATCTTGACAGATCTGTATGGAGGTAGGCAGTTGAGGATCTGAACAGAGATGAACGGAAGTGGACGGCAATTGATTTGGACGGGGGTGGATGATGGTAGATCTGAATAGAGGCAAATCCAGTGACATGTGGCTGGCAGTGGTGCTCTAGCAATGAAGAGAAGAAAGAGAGGGAATATAAGAAGAACAAAATAGTATATATATATATATATATATATATATATTATATATATATATATATATTATATATATATTATATATATAAAGACAAAACCTCATAAATGGTCCCTGTGGTTTTCCGAAATTTGGGATATAATCTCTAAGTTAAAAAAAACCTCATAGATGGTCCTATGGTTCCAAAACTTTTAACAAATAGTCCATCACCCACATAAAATTTATTTTATACCCTTTTAATTTTTTATAATTAATTTTAATTAAAACTATTAAATAAAAAGAAAAACAAAATCAATAACCCTATTTGGGCGTACACACACACACACACATATATATATATATATATATATATATATATATATATATATATATCCCTCTCGATGAAATACCCTTCACTTTCCACGCATGAATTGGTAGCCAATATCCTCCTTTATTGGAAACAATATTCTACTAAACAGAAAAAACCTTATATCACAACATATAACCCGCTGGAAGAACTTCATTTAAAGACCACCTTCAAGGATTTGTTGAACATTCACGGGAAAAGATGCAATGAAGCCTCATCGGAAAGTTACATATATATGATCAAACCTAGACCCCTGAATCTTGATCCCAATACCACCGGTGCTCTCTTCCTAACAAAACCATATAGAAATCGATTTTCCTGCGTTGAATCAGAACCATAACCTTTGGCTATTTCATTTTTGTTTCACCATTAGAAGAAGTGACTACTACAACAAGCCATCCTCGTGTTTCTACTTCACTATCATCGGAAACAAGGAGGTCTACGTGAAAGAAAGATTAAGAATCAACATGGAACCTCAAGTCTGGTTTTGATGGGGTTTGTAGAAGGAGACAATGAACAATACTCGTGTTATGAATCAAATCGACTCGACGCTTTTTAGATTATCCTCCAACAATTTCATATACATCTCTTCATCGTCCATTTCATCGTCTTGGGTAATTGAGGTTTGAGTTTGAGTACTTTTATGCGTATGTTGTGCTAATACATGCTTCTTACTAAAGCCTATTTTTTTCTTATTTAAAATTAATAAAAGTATTAAAATAAATGTTAAAATATACAAAAAAGGAAATAAAAAGGCAAAATTAACCTTTCAATTTTTAGAGACCATAATCACAAAAAAAATTTAATTTTAGACCATCCATACAAATTCAAATCTTTTTGACCTTATACACGTTTATTTGCTAACCACAAGGACCAAATTTGCAATTTAGTCGCTCAAAAATAAACAAATGGAGTAAACATTGATACGACCGAGAGGATGCAGTTGACGTGTCTTTACGTGCTTCCGTGAAAGGGGGCTCCGCCGTCTTCTCTTCCATTCTGGAATCTGGACTGTTCGATTCCGCGCAGAGAAGAAGACTTTGAACGCGGAGTCTGAAAGCTTCATCAAATCCTACAAATCAACATACGCATTCATGTACATCCATACTTGCATACTTTTCATTCATCAGATATAAGAAAAAAAAACATTTTTTTTGGTTAAAGTAATGGGGACGCCGGCAATACCAAATCTGGGAGAACAGTGCTCTGTTAATGATTGTAAGCTCATAGATTTCCTTCCTTTCACGTGCGATTGCTGCAACAAGGTCCTATTCCAAGCCCTCTTGCTTTTTGCTGTTTTTCCTCATAAATCTTTGCTATAATGTTTGAAATTTTCGTTAAATTCATGGAGTTTCACCGGTGGATGCTATTATGTTCCTGTGATGCTTGATGCATGGTTAGTTTTTTTGATATAATTGTTGAAATTGATCATTGCGGGCTTAATTAGCACTCTACATGACCTTGATGGCAGATTGTTTAACTTGTTTATTTCAATTTTAGGGTTTAAATAAGTATATGTCTTCTTAGGGTTTTGTTAGGTTATAGAAAGGGGGAAAGGGCCTATTCATATGTATACTAAAACCTCATGTCATTGACATGAATCAGGAAACTGATTATCCGCAAGAAGCCATGAAGGCGCCATAGAAAGAATGATACACAAGCTTGATGCTTGCATGCCATGATTTCTATCCACTTGAAAATAGCAGCATTTTTTCTTTCTTTTAATCCAAGGCAAATACCACTCAACTCTAGTATTCCATAATTGTTTGTCATAACTTCATCTTCATGAATAAGTCTCTGTGAGCACTTTTTACTTCCATGGTAGATAGAACACCCATCATCATCATCTTATTTGTGATAAATTTGCAGGTTTTCTGTCTAGAACACCGGAGTTACAGTACACATGAATGCCCAAATGCTAACAAAAACGACATAACAGTTGTCATCTGTCCACTCTGTGCAAAGGGAGTTCATTTAGTCCCAAATCAAGATCCAAACATCACATGGGAATCACACGTGAACACAGATTGTGATCCATCAAATTACGAAAAAGCCACCAAGAAAAAGAAATGCCCAGTTCGTGGCTGTAAAGAAACCCTCACATTCTCAAACACAATCAAATGTCGCGACTGCACCATTGACCACTGCCTAAAACACCGGTTCGGACCCGACCACACTTGCCCTGGCCCTAAAAAACCTGAACCCACCTTCCCCATTCTGGGGGTACGGGAACCCGGATCTCAAAAAGCAAAACCCACCACCAAAACGGGCGACTCATGTATCCGGATCCGGATCTGGATCGAAATGGGCTAATGGTTTCTTGAAGGCGGCTTCATCTGTTAAGGCTTCTGCTGGAGCTGGAATAGTGAAATGGAGTAATGATATTGGGCAAGTGTTTCAGGGTGGGAAAGATGGAGAGGGTGGTTCTAGTGGTGGTGAGAGAGTGGGGCAAATGGAGGTGTGTCCTGTGTGTAGTATGAAGTTTTCTAGGGTTGGAGATTTGATAGATCATGTGCAGAAAGTTCATGAGAAGAAAGAGGTGATGAAGGTGACATTAGATGTGTGTCCAAAGTGTAGTAAAGGGTTTCGTGATCCGGTTGCACTTGTGGAGCATGTTGAAAGAGAACATAGAGGTACTTCCAAAGCTTAGAGATTGTTATTTTATTTATTCCATTGCCAATTTGTTATTTGCGAACCATATTTGTTACTCTTCCTCGTTTTTCCACATCATTATTTTTGTGAAGGAAACCTTGTAGATGAATTGTCTTGTTTTAGATATAGAATGATTCAGCATTGAATTGTGTCTCAACGGCTTGTTCTGGGTTCATTTGATTTTACTACATAGAAGCTTCCGTACATGTTATTAAATTTGAAAATTTATCGTACAATATTTTTAAACTTGAATCTTTTGAGTATAAAATATCATAACATGGTACCAAAAAAATCTTACTATTGTATAATTTTGTACATTTCCCTCAAATATTCCGAACCAAACATCATAGCTGTCCTGTAAAATTTCCCCCTTAAGTTGACGGGGCCTTTTTGTTACAGTTTCCCGAGGCCTACCCCTACTTTAACAAACATGCCTTAATGTAATGTGAAACATCCAACTATACAAACCCCTCCCTTATGGATAATAGAAACCAAATACTTCAACTTTCATTTGGTTGTAGATCTTGCTCCCCTATATTTACACACACATCTTCATTATTGTGTCCCCTGCTAAAGTTTTAGCAAAGATACTTTGTTTCAACAATGTTGATCCATAACCCCTTCACTTCTAACCTCTGTCATCCAAAGTATCCGACCTATTATTCACTTAGTCGTTGACTCGGCTATCAACATGATGTTCTCAGCAAAATACATACACCAAAGCATTTAATGTCATTGCAATTAAATATATGTATGCAATTTTTTATGTCATAAGAAAATAACAATCCAAAGGATTGCCTATCTAATTACTATCACTTTTGATTTGCATTTTATAATCATGGTTTGATGAAATAATTGTTTCTAATGATGTTACAATTTTTTTTGACACACCGGAAATAAGCTATATGTTTCATTAGATTTTTTTTGGAATGACAAATCAATCTACTCTTAAATTACTCCTAACACCATCTATATCTCAAACGAGACTTGAACCCTCAATCTCAAGGAGGGAGAGCAACATCTGATACTAGGCTAGAAGGCCTTTGGTATATGTTTCAATGAATCATGAAAGTATCATAAATTTATATTGATGCCATCATAAACTAGTAAATCCAAGTTAACATGGATCATAGTTAATTAGTCAATCTTATATATAATATTGTCTATTTAAATTGTAACAACAAATCCTAGTGAGAATGCCAACATAATAATAAATTACTAAATTTATACTAAAAACACAAATAATGCATGTTTTAAGTCAAATAATCATTGTTAAATTGATGAACACATAGATTCTTTTGAATTGCGTTTCTACAAATTAAAACATTTTGATCCAAAATAACCAGAAAATGAGAATTAGAATCATTTAGTGCATGCCAAACACTCAAAATTGATAGATCATTTTAGATGCACATATAAACACTTCTTATATTTGATGTTAGATTTATATATTTTCTTTGAAAAGAAAATATATTAATGCCAAATTTATCTGGGTTCTAGACTTAAACAAAAACTGAAATTTTACTTGCATTACTAAAATATAACTATCCAAAAGTAGGTAAGTGACATCTTAGTTTCAAATCGTTATTTTACAACACCAATATTGACCATAAAATTAGTTGATATGAACCCTATAGATGATGTTTACCTTTTTAGAAACATTATGTACTTTATGAGACACAATATACTTTATGAGATCATAAAATTACAATCATCAAGATATTACTTTTGTCGAATAAAAAAATTTAGAAATTAGAAGTTCAAACGATTACCTAAAAGCATTCGTATTGTTCATTGGTAGAGCTGGCAAAAATCGACCCAACCTGCTAACCCAACCCGAACCCAACCCAAAATTAGCGGGTTGGGTTGAGATTTGATGGGTTTTAGGTACAACAAATAAACTAGAAGACAATTCCTAAGTTCACATGCAACCTACTTTGGATCTATGTTTTAACTATTGAACATACAACTTTGAATTGCAAAACAAGAACCCTAGAGGAGAGAGACTAATTTCGAAATTAACAAACTAGGGTTTAGGAGTTACATACCTTTCAATTGTTATAGCAAACAATTGATAATCCTCTTGATCTTGATCTTGATCTTCTTGGAAGCTTAGCACCACAAATGTAATGCCTCTAATGGAATCACACCCAAGAACTAGCAAGAAGGAAACTTGGAGGAGAGAGGATGGAGAGAGTATGCAATTTCGGCCTTAGGGTTTCTTCCAAAGAAATCAGTACCCAAAATGTGAGCCAGGAGGCTCCTTAAATAGTTGAGGGAACTAGGGTTTAGGGAAAACCCTAAGTATCCTTTGCTTAGGGCCTAAGCAAACCAAACCCAAGGCCTTATCTTGGACCCCTTGGACGAATCTCTAGGGTTTCCCCTAGGTTTTCGTCCAACCCCTTCCAAGGGTTCTGGATCCTTCCATTCAACTATCAGTTATTGCAAACTAGTCCCTGCACTTTATAATTAATTCTTTAACCCCAAAATCAATTCTGATTAATTTCTGGCTAACAATTAATTAAACATAATGATTTCTAATTAATATATTAATCCATTAACATATAATAAAATCAATTATTAATTTATTAATCTTATTAAATTAATATCTCTCCTTTCATAATTCCTTGTCCAGTTGCTAGGTTGAGGGCAACCCAAAAGGACTGTGCTGCTATCAATTCAAGTACATACCAATTATAGTTATGGGCTTAGACACCTAATCCAACAGTCTCCCACTTGGATAAGTCTGTAACTATAATTGCTAGTATGCCTTCTAAATTGACCAGCAAAATTATAGCTTCCAAAAAGCTGCTGCCGAACTCTGACCCAGTCAGTTACGTGTCCTAAGATAAGTGATCATATAACCCTTCGTTCTGCTTGATATCCCCAGACAAAGACATGGAATGTAATCAATCTGTTTGTCCAGAATCTATGTTCCCGATTCCTGATTTGTGATGATGTAGGACTTCTAATTCGAACACATCAATCTAGTCCTGGCTGGGCCCAGCACATAAGTCAACACCAAATCATCGAGGGGGCCACAGATATCGCCTTTTCTGTTAGGGCAAAAGGAACGAATAAACGTTGACTCATATGCTTGTATCTTTACTCATCAAATTATGCATGACAATACGTTTTATAACACCAAGTTACTGATGCGTTTTCGTATCACCAATGTATTACCGACTTGTAAATTACAACTCATATATCTTCGTTTCAAGATTATAAGAATATATCGTCTCAGTATTACTCGTGATGAATTCCATGAAGTGATACTCTGAGCGAGGGTTTATCCAATACTCAAATCTCAATTAGTACTCATGAACATTGCAGCAATTCTATTGCCATGTCTATCCTTAGACAATCTGCAATCCATTCATGACAGTCTTAATTCACTACTTACTTCCAAAGTACGAGCGACTGTGGAGTTTGAATAATCTCATTATTCAGGAAGTAAAACATGCAAAAATGAAACACAATAATAAACAATGACAAAGGTAATAGCCAAACTTATAAATAATACTTTATTTAATCACCAAAAGTCAATTACATTTACTTTGTTACAAGTTTCAAAAACTAATCTAACTACTAAAAAAATACATCATCTTTCAGTCCTATGCTTCGAGCATGCTGAATATGCTTAGCCCTACTCAGACCCTTTGTGAGAGGATCTGCTGGGTTATCTTCAGATGACACCCTCTTTACTATAAGATGGCCTTCTTCTACTCTATGTCTGATGAAATGGTACTTCTGTCGATATGTCTGGTCTTACCATGATCTCTCGGTTCCTTTGTCAAGGCAACCGCTCTTCATTATCGCAGAACAGTTCCATAGGCTCCTGGATGGTTGGAACAACTCCGAGATCCCCGATGAAGTTCCTAACCAAGCTGCTTCTTTCGACGCTTCACTTGCTGCAATGTACTCTGATTCACAAGTAGAATCAGCCACCGTATTTTGCTTGGAACTCTTCCAAGTAACTGCTCCTCCATTCAGTAAAATACCCAGCCCGACTGAGAACGGAAGTTATCTCTATCCGTCTGAAGCTGGCATCACTGTAACCATCTACTCTCAAAGTATCACTGCCACCAAGCACAAACCCAGTCCTTTGTCCTTCGCAAATACTTGAGTATATTCTTAACTGCTATCCAATGAGCTCTACCTGGGTTTCCCTGATAGCGACTGACCATGCTCAAAGCAAATGCCACATCAGGGCGAGTACATGTCATAGCGTACATGATCGATCCGACAGCGGAAGCATAAGGTACACGACTCATGTCATCTATTTCACCATCTGTACTCGGGCATTGAGTCTTACTCAATTTGGTATTGCTCTGGATAGGTAGCTCTCCCTTCTTGGATTTTCCATACTAAACTCTTTAGTACCTTATCCAAGTATGTGCTCTGACTAAGTCCAATAGTCTCTTCTTTCTATCTCTCAATATTCTAATCCCAACAATATAGGCAGCTTCTCCAAGGTCTTTCATGGCAAAACACTTTCCAAGCCAAGACTTAACTTCTTTCAAGGTTGGAACGTCGTTACCAATGAGTAATATGTCATCGACATACAACACCAGAAAAAGTTACTATACTCCCACTAGCTTGATATACACACAGAACTCATCTTCACTTCTAGAGAAACCAAACTCTTTGACTTTCTCATGGAAGCAAAGATTCCAACTGCGAGATGCTTGTTTCAATCCATAAATGGATTTCTCAAGCTTGCACACTCTATTGGGGAACTTTGCATCAACAAAAACCCTGGCTGACTCATGTAAACATCTTCAGCCAACTTCCCATTAAGGAAAGCAGTTTGACATCCATCTGCCAGATTTCATAATCATGAAAGGCAGCTATGGCGAGCAATATCCTAATAGATTTAATCTTAGCTACTGGTGAGAAGGTCTCATCATAGTCAACCCCTGGGGTTTGAGTGAAACCTTTGCAACCAGTCGAGCCTTGAATGTGTGCACATTTCATCCATGTCTGTTCTTCTTGAAG